AGTAAAGACTGAATCTTGCAATCTTGGCTGCTCCCAGAAAAATTTTTTGCACAGTCAATCTTGCTAGCTTTGCTGTTCCCAGAAGCTTTTTCACACAGTATAGGCTGAATCTTGCAATCTTTGCTGCTCCCAGAAAAACTTTTGGCACAGTAAATCTTGCTACCTTTGCCGTTCCCAGACAACTTCGCTGTTTGCGCGCCGTTATGAGGGCTGGAGATCGTTATTTTTTGCGCGCAGCCTTCGCGCACCTCTGCTGCCCCAGCCAACTCCAGTCTATCCAGTCCGCGAACTGGCCACTAAGAAATTGTCGAAACTGGCCGCGCCCTCCGTGCAAAAATGGTGCCTCAGTTCGTGCTTTGTTTTGTCCTGGTTGCACAAGCAAAGGCACCAAAAATGCACCGCGACTTTGGCCAAATTTTTCTGTCCAGTTCCGCGTTCTAGGGGTCCCAGGTCCAATTTTTTGCACGCATCCTTCGTGCAAAAATGGTGCCTCAGTTCGTGCTTGTTGCGCACGTTTGTGCTCGCTGTTACAGCTATTAGGCAAGACTCAAGCAATACTTACCAAGCAACACTGTTTGATTTTACTGGGGCCTGCTAAGAAGCTGGTGTTCTCAGATTGGTTGCCCTCTATATATTATATATATACCACATTATACCACAAGTTGATGCTCCCGGAAGTTTGAGGCCAAGAAATTGTGATGTACAAGGCGAGAGGGTCGCACGTGACATACTGCAGAAAGGTGGAAGAAAGCCAGCCAAGTGGACCAACACCCTCACATAAACCACCCTCGCGACAGTTACACCGACCAAAAATTAACAAGGTCACGCCCGCTGCAACGGCCCCGCGCGACTTGCGCGTTCTCAGAAGCATCTTCGGGTCGTTTTTCATAACCCCTGTGGCACTTTATGGCGATGCCTTTTTAAGGTCAATGTCATGTTGAATGTGTTTTTACACCACAAAACGCCTTTCAAATCGTAATTCCATTGGGAAATGACAGTGCGTTCGGGGACCCGGAAGCAAAAAAAAACGGATCTTTAATCGTTTCTCTGTTTTTCATGAAAACTTAACACACATCCACTCCCTGAGGCGTGCCACTCCTTTTCACGCGGTCCACTCCTTCTGTGCCATCTGACCCAACTTCTGCAGTTGGTGTTTAGACGGTGTATTACAGTTACAGCGCCACACAAAGCTATACATATATTCTTGGATCTGTGCATTCAATCCGCCATTGGATCGTTTGGATGCCAACTCTTTCGGGATAAACTTCTTCAGGGATGACCGTTTGCGGTCAATACGTTGGGTGCCATGCGTTTTCCGACCACGCGCTTTGCGCGTAAACGTAGCATCAACTTGGTTTGCAAGTGCAAGCGAATGTTAACAGAC